CTTAACTTCACTGGTACTACTGCCACATAAGTGTCACTCAATGCAAACTAGACTTCCAGTATTATGGGACCTCATACTACATAACTGGATTGACTTTACCTCTCTCTCTCTCTCTCTCTCTCTCTCTCTCTTTTAAAAAAGTAAATGTTAATGTTCCTACTTCTCTAAACTTCCGGCCTCCTGCTCCAAACCTGGGCAAGCATGATAGAAAAGAAAACAGATTTCTATTTTCCATTGGCAGCATAGAAATAAAAATGACCATTTATGTTGGGAAATAAGATAAACCACTATACACACTTATCTCATTTGATTCTCACAACAGCCCTGAGAGGTGTAGGGACAGTAGATGAGGCCTCAAAAGTGTTGGAAGTTAAAAAGCCCAAGTCAGGAGGCTAATGAGAGGAAGAACCAGGATTTGACTACAAATCTGTTAAATTCGAAAGCCAATGAAGCCAAGCCACCTCTCAAAATAGGTCCTTGATGATCTGTCATATTCCTTGTGAGAATCTAAATTGGTAGGAATTTTCTAGAGGCCAATTTGGCAGTACCTATGAAATCCATAGTTTACTATGCACACCCATTGACCTAGAGATCCCATTTCTAGGAATTCATCCAAAGGAAATACAGAGATGTACACAAATATTTAGCTACAAGGATGTATTCCTGCATTATCTGCAACAGCAAAAATCTGGAGATGGCCTGTGTGACCAAGTGAGGGATTACATAATCAAGGTACTTTTGTAGGATTTAATATTATGCAGCCATTAAAAGATAGGTTGTATACCAGAAAGTGTTAATGAGATATTAAATAAAAAGCAAATCACCAAAAAATATATGTAATGTGATACTAATTTTGTAAATGTGTATATATATATATATATATATATATTTAAAAGGCTGAAAAGACATATAAAAATGTTATCAATGATTATTTGTGGGTGGTGGTGGTGGTAGGATTATAGATAATTTTTAATTTCTTCACACTTTTCTGTATTTTCTATAATAAAAAGGTATGACATGTATTCGAAAGGAATGATAAATGTTATAGTTATGTATCACTGCCTATCCTATTTTGGGGAAGCTTTACTCGTAATCTGTTGATTCATCCATTTGGTAGAGCCACGCAAACAGCTCCTCCACCACTTTGGGGGGAAATCCATAGCTTTTGGATAAAAAGAAACATTGCATTTCATTAATCTGACTACCTATTCTTGTTTGTTCACTGAAGAACACTTAATGAGATGCCACAATGTCTAGGGATTGGATTGAATGGACTAGTAACTTTTTATACTTGTAGCCCACTCTCTATGGCAGAGCGGTTTGAAGGAGTGGTTGCTACACATTACAATCACCGGAATATTATAATTCAAACAAATATGCTGATGCCCCGTCAGCAACCTACACCAACAAAACCAAAATCCCTGGTGAAAGGGCCCAGGCATCGAGGTTTTTAAAACTCCCAGGTGATTCCAGTATGTGGCCAAGTTTGAGGACTACTGGTTTAAAGAATAGTGTTTATTAGGTTCCTGAGGTCACAGGGGCAAAGGTCAGTTAACTTCTCATAGAAAAAAAATGCCCCACTTCCAAACATCTTGTATGTATGATAAGGTTAAATTTAAAAAGCAGATACTTCCCCTGCTTTTTAAATCCATCAATAACCAATGTAAAACAAACAAAAAACCACCTATTATAACTTAGTAGAGAGAGTCCAAACTCTGGGGGATCCTTACATTTCATTTCATACTCTGAAAGTCCTTCCCTTAGATTCAGGTTTTTCAGCCCTGGGCCGGGGGCAGAGATGGGTTTCAGTGGGTCCTTCAATCCATGAAATGCATGCAAATTTTGAGTTGATCCTTTTTTTGAAGTGAGGACCTATACCTTTATCTGATTTTCCAAGGGATCTATGTGTCATGGATATTAACAAACAGCAAAATAGACTCTTAACATTTGTCTTTAATGAGCAGGGAAAAGCTTGACAGATGGAGAGAGAAGTACAGAAGTTCATTAGCTCTTAAATAGCTGCCTTTCTTGTTGGGATAACGGGGCTCTCCTGAAGGAGATGTGAATTTAATTCCCCAATGAAGACAGCTGAAAACACTTTAGGGGGGCAAGGAGGTAGAAGGGGGAGATGGAAGATGAAAGTTCTAACCTCTATTAACTAGCTTGTGATCAATGAACTTGATTGGTTACTTTGTCTCATCTCTAAAAGAGAAATATGAGCGCCACTTTCTTTCCTCAGAGGTTTGTTTACATGAGGTCTCGATGAAATCACACAGTGTTAAGTGTCACCTCACAGATGAAGCCAGTCTGAGGGTTCACTTAAGCTTCTTGTTGGACTCCATTCATGTATACATATGATCATTAGTGACATTTGGGCAGGCTGGGTTTCGGGGAGACGATTCACCGCATATCTTGCCATACCTGATCTGCCTGGTGGGTCCCTCACTGGAGGAGGGGGTCTCTCATTGGGCGGGGGAGGAAGCGGGCCAGAACGTCCAGGTGAAGGTAAGGGCGGTGCAGACGACGTGAGGGACAGATTCCGCTGGGGGAGCCTTGGGGTTTCGTCACTGCCGCTGGAACCCGGAGGCAGGTGGGGCGGGCCGGGCCTGCTGGGTGGCGGTGGCGGAGGTGGGGCCTGTGACGAAGAGGAAGGCCGCGGAGTGGAAGGCACCGGGGGCTTGCTGTTCTGAGGGGGCGGAGGTGGGACCGCTTCTCTGTGGATGCTGGGCCTGTTGCCCACCGGAGGAGGCGGCGGAGGGGGTTTGTCATCCAAGGCCCTGCTCGGGGTAGGGGGCAGGGGAGGCCTGTTGGAGAAGGGTGAGGAGGAGCCTGAGGGGGTCTGACGGACGGAGCCTCCTCCAAAAGCAGCACCTCTGTTTCCGGGGAAAGGGGGAGGAGTCGGCCCAGGGCTGGGCTGCCTGGTGGCCCCAGGCACGGGAGGGGACCCGCGGTTGTGCAGACTTGATTGAATGGGTCTTGGCGTATTAGGTACTGGTGGGGGGATGCTATCAGGCTTTGAGCCCACGTCGGGCCTCGGGGGAGGCAGTCGGTTCCTCTGAGGCTCTGGGGGTCCGCTTCTGTGGCCCGCAGAAGGCACAGGGAACCTCCCTGGGCCACTTGGGGGTGAGAAAGGTTTGGCAGATGTGGATCTG